TTCTGGGTAGCTGACCTCATAATCTTGAAAAACGGTAGGCACTTATCTGCTGACTTCGATATGAACCGATGAAGAGCTGCTACCCTTCCAGTCAACCTCTGTATATCCTTCACTGATTTCGGCGGTTCCATCTCGGTAATTGCTTTGATCTTCTCTGGGTTGACCTCAATTCCTCTCCGGGAAACCATGAAACCCAGGAATTTTCCAGACTCCACACCAAAGATGCATTTGGCTGGGTTTAACCTCATTCTATTATGTTTGAGATTGTTGAATGTCTCCTCAAGGTCGGTTAAGTGATCGTCAGCTTTCAAACTCTTTACCACTATATCATCAACATAAACTTCTAGATTCCGTCCTATCTGAGCTCGGAATACGATGGTAACCATCTTCTGGTAAGTGGCACCTGCGTTCTTCAAGCCGAAGGGCATCATTACATAACAATAGATCTCATCGCCAGCATAGAACGAGATTTTTTCTTCATCCTCAAGAGCCATTGGGACCTGGTGGTAGCCTGAGTATGCATCCAAGAGACTTAATCTCTTATTTCCCGAAGCTGCCTCAACCAGCTTATCAATGTTTGGCATTGGATAACAGTCCTTTGGACATGCATCGTTGAGGTTAGTGTAATCAATGCACATCCACCACTTACCGTTCACTTTTTTCACCAACACCGGATTGGCGACCCACTCACAGTAATCTACCCTTTTGATAAAGCCGGCTTGTAGGAGTTTCTCGACTTCTTCTTTAATAACCTTTAACCTCTCCCCCCCGAAGAGGCGTCACTTCTGGGTTACGGGTTTCTTAAGGGGATTGGTGCTGAATTTATGTTGAAAAAATGAAGTGGGAATTCCCGGCATATCTGCTGAAGTCCATGCAAAAACATCTTTATTGGCCCGAAGAAAAGCTATTAGCTTTGCTCTTTCCTCTTGGTTCAATTTAGTCCCAATTTGCGTTTTCCGGCTCGAATCTCTGTCATCAATCTGTACCTCTTCCACATCTTCGACTGCAGCAGCTCTGGTTTCATCTTCTGGTCGGTTATCTACTATCTCCACACCTATAACTTGTCGATTGTCAGGAATCCGTTTGGGATTGACCTCGGGCGTCTGATCTTTACCCTTCTGAGGTTGCGTGACCGAGGTGATATAGCAATGTCGGGCTACCTCTTGGTTGCCTCGCAGCGTTGCTATTCCCGTAGGAGTTGGGGATTTCATGCATAGGTGAGACTGGGAAACCACAGCTCGGATTGCAGTCAGTGTAGGTCGGCCGATGACAGCGTTGAAAGAGGACGCCATCTTGACTACTAAAAACCTCACGGAAGGGGTCACATAACTTCGGCCACTTCCAAATGCAACATTCATGGTGAGGACTCCTTCAACTGGAACTGGTTGGTTGTTGAACCCGTAGATGGGACCATCATACCGCTGCAACAGAGCTGGATCTAACCCAAGACTCTTAAAACAATGGAAGTACATGATGTCTGGTGCACTCCTTGTGTCAACAAAGACACGCTGCACCTCACAATTGTTGATTGTGACAGAAGTGACTAGAGGATCATTGTGAGGTGTGACAACTGTCTTAAGATCAGCAGATGTGAAAGTGATGGGTTGATTCTTCCACTCAGCATCGTCAAATTTTCGCTTCTGAGCTCGGTTTTGGTGCCTAACCTCTTTGACATACAACTTTCGCTGCTTAGAGCTCAGTCCACCTGCTGCCAGACCACCCGTAATCATGTGTATGACTCTAGCTGGTGGGGGGAGTGGTGGTGGGGCCTGCTGATATCCCACACCTTGCCTGTTTAAGGGATTGCAGACTCCTTGATGCTGTGGCCCTTGTTCTCTGACAAACCTTGGTTGTTCCACTCTCTGGATGTACTCATTCAACATTCCTTTCTGCGCTAGACTTTCCAGCTCGGACCTTAGACTATTGCATTGCTCTGTTGTATGACCGTGCTCTTGATGAAAATCACAGTACCTAGTATGGTCTCTGGTAGCAGTAGTAGTTCTCATTGGGCCCGGACGTTGTAAGTCCATTTTATTCTTAATCTGCATAAAGATTTGTGACCTCGGTAAATTAAAAGGAGTCTAATTAACTAGAGGTTTACCTGCAGGTTGTTGCGGAGGTGCTGAGTTCGGCCTTCCGAATCTCAGGGTGGAAGTCGACATCGGACCTCGGTTCTGTGTTGTCTTCATCCGTTTCCTGTTCGGATTCTCCTCTCTCCAGTCCGGGTGTTGGCTCTTAATAGGAGTTAGGTTCTGCGACAGGGCATATTCCTCAGCAGTTATGAATTTCAACGATCTATCATTTACCTCGCTGAAGGTGTTGGCAGGATGTTTGAGCAAACTATCTCGGAATCTCTCATGGCTAAGACCTGAGATCACAGCTGTAATTCCCACAGCTTGGTCAAAAGAGTTAACCTCCAGTACTGCATCATTGAATCTGCTCATAAAATTTTTCAAAGACTCTCCGTCCTTCTGCTTAACTCGCATCAGCTCAGAAGTGGTTTTCCTGATCAACCTTCTACTGGAAAACTTTGTGGCAAAAGCAGATGCCATTTCTGTGTAAGAGTTGATTGACCTTGGAGGCAGACTGTAGTACCAGGTTCAAGCATTACCTCGGAGGGTAGAGGGAAAGATTTTGCACATCAATGCATCAGAGGCGTTCTGGGCCTGCATGCAAGAGTAGAAAGCATGTAAATGATCATCGGGGTCCTTCATCCCATCATAAGTTTCAAGCTGTGGTATTTTGAAGCCAGCGGGATAGAGTTCTAGTATAATATTGGTGTTGAGAGGGTGGGGCACGGAGTCAGCAGCAGGGTGCGGGGGTGGGGCACCTCGTTGTTCAACCATTAGCTTTTCTAAGCTATCTAGACGTCGAGTGACATCACCATGAAGGGGTTGCTGAACTGGCGCGAAGTGAGATTGGGCCTGAGATTCACTAATAGCAGGAGCATGCTGAACTGGTTCAGGATTTTGTGGTGGGGCTAGAGGTTGTGGAGTAGGATTAAGTAAGTTGATGAGTGGATCACCATGATTATTTCGGGCTAATAGATGTGCTAGTACTAACTGAAAGACACCAAACTGCTATTGCATGGTAGCGAGTTGAGTTGCAACTACGCCTTGGTTAGCAGCAGAGGCTGAGTTGTGAACCGAATTGTGTGGTTGATTTTCGTCTTCTCCTTCTGCATGATCAACAAGAGGGAACGTATTTGGGATTGGGGGTGGGGGATGAGGCGGAAGGTTGCTGGGGACCTGACCTTGTCCAAGAGGCTGAGACGAGTTTCCACCTCGGGCTGACCTAGTTTTAACCATGATAAGAGCGACAAGGGAGCCTTTAGTTCAGATTCCCACAGACGGCGCCAAAATGTAACTGCACCAAACCAGAAGTCCTTCTTCAATCCGTATCTGCACTCTGGATTGACCTGCAAAGCCCCGAGGTAGATCCTCGGGGTAGACACTCCGATGCTTAAGTCAGCAATAATCGAGACTACCTTTAGAGCGGAGAAAACAAGGAGCTTAGGGTTGGTTTCAATTACCTTTTGGCGTGGCCCTTGAGGGGTATTTATATGTTCCCATGAAGAAACCACGTGGCATGCCAAGCAAAATATTCCAGATCTGATGTGTATCTCTAGGCAGTTATTTTGGGATTTGATGCGTATCTCCAAGCAGTTATTTTGGGACCCGGAGATTGAGCCAAGCAAGATATTCGGGATTTGATGTGAGGATGTCCATCGTAACTGCTATGCTGCTGTTCGAGCGGGAAGCTCTTGATTTATTCCTTACTTCGGTTGTAAAAAGAATTACTGCCGTACGTCCGAAGTTGAGTACCTCAGACCTGCCCTTACAGTCTACTCATCTGGCATGTGCCAGGACGCATCCAGTACCATGCATTGTCTAATACTCAAGAGTTACCTTAAGGTTAGAATGGAGCCAATCAATAGAAACAACATGATTATCCAGTACCATGCTGCAAAGAGTTACCTTAAGGTAATACGCACCGTTTGGCATGTGCCAAGATGCATCCAGTACCAGCATCCAAGACAATTCATGTTGTTTCTGTTGATTGACTTGACACAAAACTTCTAAAATTCAGATAATCAAATTGTCTAATACTAATATTAACCGTGAATTCCAATAGAAGTTGCAAAGTTAGCACGTTAGGTAAGCGTCAGAGGCATAAAATTAAAAGTTACCACGCATCCCTCAATTGGTGGAAAACCCAAAACCCCTCCACAATCATAGCACAAAACCAAAACCATACTCCACTTGAGGCAAAGAATCGCCACCAAAACCTAAACCCATTAACCAAAATCGATCACTAAGCACATGGCACAAAAGATTAAAAAAACCACAAAACACAACCCATGAGAACAACCAAAAGACCATAATTACTCTAGCACAACACAAAATATACCTAGAAACAGAAAAACTCAGTCATCAATCGATGATCAGAAAACAAACTCCATAAGAACAACTGAAGAAAGGAGCACCCTTTTACTTACACTGAAAAGGGTCGTGAAAATCTGGGGCTTTGAGGAGAGGGGGAACGAAAGTGAACCAAACGGTGACCCAAATGGGTCCTTGTGAAAGTGGCTGCTGCCACGAAAGGTTGTTTTTAGAGATGTTATCTGTGTTTTCACATTCTAGATGGGAAGAAGCCAAGAACACTCCGTTACAGAACCAATCAAGACTGGGAAAATTAGGGGGAAAATTAGGGATTTTGGGTGCGAAGAACCGAAGAAAATAAAGGGGAGCAAGGGCAGCTTACTTGATGGTGTGACTTTGTAGATCTGGGACAATTAGATCGAATTGCCCAAAACCCAAATCCTCAGGCTCCTCGCGCTTAGCTCCGGTGGCAATAGGTGAGCATTCTACTTCACCGCAGTCGACTGGGAAAATTAGGGGGAAATCAGGGATTTTGGGTTGCAGGTAGATTGGGAAAGGTAGGTTGAGAAAGAATAAGGGGAAGAACCAAAGAACCCAGAATGAACGATGAAGACGAGAACCAAAGCAGATGGGGAAGAACCCAACAAGACGGGGAATGAGAATTAGGGATTTTCAGTTTAGGGAGAAAAAAGATGGGGAAGAAGATGGTAGAGATTTTTGGTTTGTTGCTCTGGTTGGATGAGGAAGAAGATGGGCAAGAAGACAGGGAAGGAACATGGGGAAGAAACACAGGTAATGATTCTGGGCTGCTTGAGAAAGAAACGTTATAAATGTAACCCCATATAGAGTGGTTAAATGTGAGGATAAAACAGGGAGAATGAGTAAAATTCATTAAAATTGGAAGTAGAAACTTTCGCGGAAGCACCCATCTTGTGCTTCTGAAATTAGCTTTAGAAGGAAAAAAGACGAACTCGTGAGAAATTATAGTATTTTTCGAAAGTTGTAACGTTTGATGTAATTTGACCTTTTGAATCCAAAACATTTTTCCCACGAGTTGCACCTAAACTGCCAAGGTTTAAGTACCATTTTGGTCCTTCAACTTTTTACTTTGATATCAAAATTGTCTTTCAACTTTAAAAAGTACCAAAATTATCCTCAGACTTTTATTTTCGATACCAAAATAGTCTTTCCGTCAGTTAAATGCACAGGTGGCACGTTAAGATGCCACAAAATCACTGGCTTTTTAAAATTTAATGACATGTATGTCCAGCAAAGAAAATATTGTCACCATGGCATCTTCTCAGTTTTTCTTTTTAGTGGGGCCCACATAAAAATTTGTTTTCTTTTTTTCTTTTTTTTTTTCAGTTTCAATCAAGTTCCCCCAAAAATCATAGTTTTTTTCGTTTCTCTTTTCATTTCCTTTTCATATTGAAAACCCTAAACCTACAACTTCTACAAAATTAAAATCAAAATCAAATCGTCATTTTTTCTTCTTCTTATTCTTTCTCTCTCTCTCTTCTCCTTTCTTCCTCTCCAAATCTGGGTTTTCTCAAACCCAGATTTGGGTTTTCTTAGACCCTTGAACTAGCAAGCTTGTAGAGACCATTGAAGAGAGATTAATATCCAGTACCTTCTTGAGGCGGATGGCTTCGTAGCCAGAAGTATTAGAGGTGGAGGAAGAAGAGCGACGGTTCCTAGTTGTAGAACTCGTGCTGGAGGTGGTTGTGGAGCAGTGGACGAGAAAAGCAGATATATCCGTTTACCAGAAGAGAAGGGAGAGGAGAGATCTGGGTTTTCTCAGGCTTGCTGAACTAACAACGGGAGAGGAGAGATCTTCCTCTTTGAAACCTAGATTTGGGTTTCAAAAAAAATTTAGAATTTGCGAGATGAAATCATCGAACTATCCTATTTTAGTTTTGAAGCTGTTTTGATTGCTATAGATATTTTCTTCATCTGGTGCATTTCTTTTGTGGTAGATAGATTGTGATTGATCTTCATCTGATATTTTCTAAATTGTGATTGCTATAGATATTTTCTTCATCTGGTGCATTTCTTGTGCGTTTCTTTTGTGGTAGATCTTCATCTGATATTTTCTAAATTGTGATTGGTATTGGTATGCTGTAGAGTTCTACAGAGTTTGTTTGAAACCCAGATCTAGGTTTCATCACAATTAACAATTAAAAATTTTTCCAGGAAACCCCCAACGAAAAATACACACTATTTCTTCTCACCTATCGAATCGATCATAACCACTGCCTACATTCCAAAGCTTCTCGACCGTTTGAGAGAACCTAGAACTTGGGTTTGCAGAGGTAAGAGAAAAGGAAAGGTAAAGGAGAGAAAATGAAAGTGAAAGAAGAAATCTGACGTGGGTGAAAGAAAAAAGAATTATTATTTTTAAATTAAATGAAAATGCCAACTCATAAAAAAAATTGCCAACTATGTTTTTTTTTCCATGTCATTAGTTAAGGAAAAAAAAGAATTGATTTGTTGGCATTTTAACGTGCCACCTGTCATTTAACTGACGGAATGACCATTTTGATACAAAAATAAAAGTTTGAGGATAATTTTGATATTTTTTAAAACTGAGAGACAATTTTAATACCAAAATAAAAAGTTGAGGGACTAAAATAGTACTTAAACCAAACTGCCAATAAAAGGAGTGCTTGCGCACTTGGGCTTACGTCAAGCACCCATAATACTTTTTTTATATAAAAAATGCACTTCATGAACTTAGCCACCATCTCGTTTATAATGTTTTGTTTTAAAATAATTATTAATTTTTTATTTTAAGTTTGTCTTAATTATTTTTTATTTTTTATTTTTAAAACAGATAAATATTTTTTATTTTAATCTTATTATTATAATTAACCTTAATTATTCATTTGATAAAAAAAAAGTCTTTTTTATCTTTTATTTCTTTTTAAAAAGTAATAGAGGTAAACATATAAATTGTATCTAAACTTTTAATTCAGAAAAAAATAAAAAATGATAGTTATTTAATGAAAGATTTTTTTGTGATAGAACAATAATCAAAGTCAAAGGATAATGATAGGATTAAATTAGAAAAAAAAGTATTTGCCTATTGTAAAAAACAAAAAAAGAACAACTAATTTAGAATTAAGGACAACAATTGATACTCACTTTAATTGCACAATATATTCATTAAAAAATCATTATTTATTAACATAAAATTCAAAGCAGACAAACAAAAAGATGCACCCTATATATATAACACATAAGAGTTGGTTGAATTAGTTGTAAGTTATATTATATTTTAATGGTTAAATTGGATAAGCGTTGAAAAATGTGTCAAATCAAATGGTGTACCTACCATTTTCTTAAAACAAATTTATAATAAAAAAAATGATAGTTATTTTGGGTAAAGGGAGTGAATAATTTACCAATGAAGTCTTGGACTAGTAATTTAAGATGAGGTTCTAGTGGTTTAGATTTCGAGTTTCAGTTCGTAGGTCAAAACTTCATTTTAATCTCTCTATTTTAATCAATAATCTTTTTTTAGTCTCTCTACTTAAAAAAGTTCCTTTTTAGTTCCTAAAGTTAATTATATGGCCTAGTTTTAGTCCATCTGTTAAGTAACAGAAATTTCAATATATATGCACTAAAAAGAGCTTTTTTAAAAGTAGGGGGAGCAAAAATGGATTTTTTTAGTTCCTTTTTAGACTCTCCACTTTAGAATTTTTGTTATCTAATATATCATGTGTGCAAAAAGATAACAGAGGAATATTAAAACGGGGCTGAATAATAAACTTTAACAATTAAAAAAGCACTTTCTTGAGTAAAAGGACTAAAAAAAACATTTTATTAAAATAAAGGGACCAAAATAAGGTTTTATCTGAGTCTTATATACAATTTTTTGTTAGAATTTGTGAGTTAATTTAATTCAAGTGTGATATGTTAGATACTAATTGCTGATGGATTTATATTGTCCATAATTTATAGACACTACAAGAAAATGGGCATTCTCTTACAGAGAATTGGTTATAAAATTTATATTTTTAATCACAAATTAAAATTGTGTTTAAAATTTAAGTTTTTGTAATCAATTTTATCATCACAAAATGCCCATTTTCTTGTAGTGATATTATAATGAAATTTATATCATATGTTTGAGTTGAAAGGAATAGATAAGAATTTATTTTTTTATTTTTTGGATAAATAAATAAATTAAAAGAAAAAATAAAATAAAATAATTTTCCCCTTCCTCCAATTCTTTTGATAACTAAATAGAGAAATTTTTTATCCTCCCTTCCCCTCCCCTCCATTCCCATTAACCCAAATATACTATAAAAAAAATAGTGTATCCATTCCATATTTTGTAACGAATTAAGGATAGGAAAAAATTGATACACACTAAATTCAACATATTTTTTAATACTCATTTAGTTAAATTATTAAAATATAATATAAATACAATTCAATTTAGTTAATTCCTACATCCTATATGCATGACCTCATCTTTAAATTTGTTTACCTTTAATTTTAAATCATAAAATAATAATTTTTTAATAAATATATTATGTACTATATATTAAACCAAAGTATATCATCAATATACCTTAGAGAGATATCATATCTAAGATCCATAAAAAAAAAAAAAAGTCATATCTAAGAGTATAATCATTCTTCAACAACCATTTTTTGTTTCCTTTCAAGAAATAACCTGTTTATTTTGCAAACTAAAAATTGCAGGAAAAAAAAAACCTTTAATGGAAAACATGGTTGGTTTTTGAAGTTTCACTCCAAGCACTTCTCTTCAAGAACGTTTCAATATGCATAAACTCGTCAAATTATTAAACATTATTTTGTTTCTCACCTAAGCAACATTTTTTTTCTTTTTTGTTTCACCTACGTAACATTTTATTTAATACATCAGTACAATTTAAGGTACAACTTACGGTACAACTATAGCGGCAAAAGGTACCCGTTTGCCCCTTAACTTTTTGACTTTTAAGGTTTTTACCCTTCATATTACAATATATGAATTTTTACCCTCAATGTTTTCGAGTTGAGGAAATGAGGCAAAATTTAACGCCGGAACGTCACGTGTAGCACGTGCACCGTTGGCCTCCGTTAAGTATGCGCATGTCAGCGCCAACTCAGAATTTTTTGACAACCTGGCATGCCAACTTAGAACCCCACGAGAGGGAAGTCTACTTGCTGCCAATTTTTTTGTGAGCCTCACTGCTAACTAAAGGTTTTAAAAAAAAAGGTTAAATCCTCAATTCAGTCCCTTAACTTTCATTTTTCAACTAAATTTACTTCGAACTTCAAAATATTGTGACTTGGCACTAAAAATATAATTTAATAAATAAAAAAAAAAATTTTCTCCTTCTCTTTCCTTTTCTCCTTCCCCTCCCTACTGGGTTCAAAGGAACCCAGCACCAACGCCTGGGACAAATCACAGTTCTCTGCCTCCTTTCTCACAACATCAAGAACAGCATCAATGAGCTCAGCTCCCTCAGTGTAATGGCCCTTAGCCCAGTTGTTACCAGCGCCAGATTGACCAAACACAAA